CGGCCCCAGTGCGGATTGGTGGGTGCTAACGACTGCAGATGCAACCGGGACCAACGGCTTAACGTGCCTTCTGAAGCACGGAGGAGCTCGAGATAGTAAATTTTTGGTCACCCATCCAATGAACGACCACTGCGAAAGTTGCTTAACTTCAACGATCGCAGCCGAACGCGCTAAACACCCGCGCCATCGAGGTCCTCAGTATTTCAGTCATAAATACTATACATTTTAAATTATGTAATTATTGAAGTACATTCATTTGTTTATGTGGCATGGTACAAGGAGTCAGTCTCAAAGTATTGAAACTTATATTGCATATTATTGACATTTCAAGCATCGTAAATAAACCACAGAACCACTAACGAACTCAGTCTTGTTCCTAGTCCATCAGAGAGAGATTTAGTTAAATAAATAATATAAATAAATATTTCCGACACTTACACCAATTAGCCTAGCCCCAAAGTAAGCACTATAAGGCTTGTGTTATGGGATGCTAGGGTAACGGATAGAATACATATACTGTACATATATAAGTATATTTATATAAATACATATTAAACATCCATGACTGGAGTACAAATGCTCGTATTCATCACACAAACATCTGCCCCCACCGGGATTCGAACCCGAGACCTCTCGAGTAGTCGGCGATAGCCATGAAACCCGGCGTACAAACCACTCGGCCACGGAGGTAAGAGATTTAGTTGCAACAACAGTTGAATGGTACTAATGAAATTAATTATTGAAATTCGCAACGTTCGTGCCAATTGAATTAGCAAGTTACCTACCTTGCGGTTTTGCAATTATCAGAGCAGATAACCGCATCGACACTATAAATATAGGGTGAAATATTACTAACTTTCCACCTCTTTTCGTACTAGACATAGCAAATGACACCGCAGGCGTAATTTAGAGACTTTTAAAATCATTTCATCAAGAAAAAAAATCCACGCTGACCAGGCAGCAGACCGTAAGCTATCTAGTTATATTTTCTTTAGATTTACACATCGAGAAGTTACATGCTTAAAAAATATAAATAAAATAATCATTAGCCCAAGATCGATTTGAGTGGCGTGCAATTGGGATGCCTATGTCCAGCAGTGGACTAGGTTAGGCTGTTGATGAATCATTAAGGAAGTTAAGATGGAATGAAAATTATAATTATTTTTCCCATATATCAACATGACTACTTAATTGAGAACTGGATGGGCACTTTTATGTTTATTTATTTATATTATTTATTTACTAATTGAGTACACATGGAATAATGAGGGAGCAAGTGATTTTAATGTTGTTTATTTTTTAATACTTTTTATTTTGATTGCTTACTAGAAAGCTATATTTTTTTTAAGCATGTAACTGCTTGATGTTTAAATCTTAAGAAAATATAACTAGAAAAAAATCCACGAGGACCAGGCAGCAGACGGGACTTGAACCCGCACCCTTCGCTATCCGGGTGAATGCATTGACCAATTATAATTGGTGAAAGGGTGCAGGTTCGAGTCCCGTCTGCTGCCTGGTCCGAGTGGATTTTTTTCTAGTTATATTTTCTTTATTTACTAGAAAGCTGATAATTTCCAAGGATAGAAACTTGCTTGACACCAAATTGGATAATTATTTTATTGTTTCCTTTAGTGGTTATGCTTTTTAAAGAAAATACTTATATAATTTTATAATATTCATTAGTTTAATATAATTATATATCACTCAGGGATCTGTTTCCAGTAAGCTTTAATTTGATATTTTTGGAACACATTCCCATGCAAGCCAATCAATGATGTTGAGCCTACAGAAAATACACGAATCGTTAAGGTATTATATAACTGGGATTGTATGTAAATGCATTGTGCACCTAATTTTTTTTTACATAAGTGCATATTGCTCTTCATCGTCATCATCATCATCAGCCTATTAATGCCCCCACTGCTGGGGCACAGGCCTTCCCTATGGATGGAATAGGGAGATAGGACCATGACCCATCACGCGGGCCCAATGCGGATTGGCGGGTGCTAACGACTGCAAATGCAGCCGGGACCAACGGCTTAACGTGCCTTCCGAAGCACGGAGGAACTGGAAATAGAAGATTTTTGGTACCCATCCAATGACCGACCACTGCGAAAGTTGCTTAAAATCAACGATCGCTGCCGAACGCGCTAACCACCTGCGCTATCGAGCTCCTCATATTGCAATTATTAACTATGAAATATTTAAAGAAGGACGTAAACTTAAGGGCAATTATAACGGGCCGAACTTTGCTTTTTATAGACGCCGAATACGCACAGTAAATGCTATGCACGACTACAATACACAAAAAAAAACATACTAGATGTCATGTACCTAAGTAATTTCGCAAATTAATGAACATTAAATTTAATGAAGGAAACAAAATTGTCATTTTTGAAGTTATACTTCTTTAGGCGCGTTATGAAAAAATGATGAGAGTGAAATTTTTAGATGCGCGCGCATCACTGTAACCCAAAAGTAACAGCATGAAGTTGGCCGCGGGCGCGTTATGAAAAAATCATGTGAGTGAAATTTCGAGATGCACGCGCATCACTGTAACACAATAGTAACACCATGAAGTTGGCCGCGGGCGCGTTATGAATGTTAGTGTCTAACTTAGACATCTGTTCGAAAGGTACTTTGAACGATCCACGGAGCTCCTTAAGATGATCGCGTTGTCAAAAACAATGTTGGCACGCTCGTCGCCTCTGATCACTGTTTCCATATTTATAATATTTATCCACATGTTTCTAGTTTCTATATAGACACAACGTGTTTTAGTTACTTACAAGTGCTAATTACATATGGAGTAATAACTTAAATTCAGTACTGATTTTAATTGAATATCTTGAATATTTATTTAATTTTTCAAATTAAAACTGAACTTAATTGACTGTGTTAACTATCCTTTTCCAGTCCTTTTATTATTTTATTATAATTATTAATTATTTGCATGCAATTAAAAATATTTTTAATGATGCTAAAGAAGTATAACTTCTCACGCGCGTACATAAGTTACACGCATCCATTTTTTTTGTAGTTGTTAGTATCTAGATCGACAAGAGGACTTTGCCGTTAACCGAAGAAAAAAGGATTATGAGGATCAATGACTTTTTTTTCAATAATATACACACATAAAAGAAGTCTAAGCGACGTGCATCGTTTACGAAAACTGCAAGTTTCATCAGTTCATTTTGTATTATCTTCATGAAATGTATAATTTGTTCACAGGGTACATCCTAGTCCACTTGTCAACCCACCATAGACTGATCAATACATACCTGTTACTTTTTTGGTGAATAAATAGCATATTTTTATATCATTTAGGTCTATCAGTAGGTATGTACATTCAATCGTAAACACAATAATCAGCAACTTATATGAATTAAAAAGTGCGATTCCAGTATGAATGTGTGCATTCATCTACAGCTTTGCCAAGCACCAATGCGGTGGCAACAAAGAAAGATGGACGGCGTGTGCCCTTATTGATGAGGCTCAAATGCAACAATAACATCAGGTGTATTAACGTTCTCTCAACAATAACTCAGTGCTGGCTAATCCACCGGAACGAACCCCCGCAAAACGTGGAGTGAAAAACAAGACAGTGAGTCGTGCAATCTATAACAATAGCTGCATTTGTAGAAGATATATTTTAATGTGCTTTTTTAATGTGTATATTGTTTTTAGATCACGCATTGGTGGCGGGAGGTTGAGGTTCAATCGTTATGAAGTTTATAAATAGGTACATAGTAATTTTATCATTTTTAGGGTTTCGTACCAAAGGGCAAAAACGGAACCCTATTGTTATCACTCTGTCGTCTGACTGTTCGTACGTCACGGGTCTCTAGGTCGTAAACGGAATAAGTCAGTTTTGTATTTTATGTAGAATGCTCGCCATAAGCCAAATATTTGTATAAAAAAAATAAATTAAATAATTTTCTAAGGAGGGTCCCATAATTTATTTAATCTATTTTACCAGAGCTTTCGACATATTTGTCTAGTTTTTTTTATGAGTGTGTATGCTGTTGGTCGCAGATGACCTTTACAGCGTCAACGGGTTTTGGGACGACGAGATCCTTAGTGGACCTGTTTGGACCTGGATGGCAGTTTCTTCCCGATAAAAGGGTTTCAATATCAAATAATGCAGTAAGTGTATATCAATTCGTTATATGATAGAAGAATGTTTTTTTTTAAATTCACCCTGTAAGACAAAAGTTCGTATGGTAAACCATTTGTAATCGAATGTATAGAAATTAGTATATTTTCTAATTATTTATTAGATTTAAAATTAAACAATTTTAAACTTTTTTGCAATGACACTTTTGTAAGTATGAATGTAGGATGGAAATGTTGAAAAAGGATTTTAGTCACTTTTCTGTAAGCATGAGAGCAAAATCTTTTGTTTGTTCTAGAAAACGGGAAGTAGTATCTTTTGGCCTTCGTTCCCTGGAGGATTAAATCGGGGGTGAAAGTAGATGAGAATCCAATAAGACTCATTTTGACTTAGAACTATGATAATATTACTACTCTATTTTTGTAACGGCACGATTTCAATTGTTTTGTTTTTTTATGCAGAGAGATATAAATTGCTAATTTTACAAAATTTTTAAACAGCTACAATTGTCAAAGTCAAGGGCGTAGACGCTACCAGAGGAGTTCTTAATAGATATTAAATATCAATTGGATAAACAAGTTTAAAAAGTTCAGCAAATCCAAAAAGTAAACTTATTTAAACTTTGTTTAAGTTATTTAAATCTAAAGTGAATCAAATATAAAACGTCACTTTGAAATCACTTGAAAAATAAAATAACATGTGTTCGCAACTACAAAAAAAATAAAAACCAAATTTATGTAAGAAAATAAAAAGTAAAGTTTTACTTTTTAACATCTACGAAACCTCGATTCGTCGAAGCTACACTTCGATTTATTAGGGTACTCATCGATTGACTCGTGCCGTTTCAAAAAGGGCGAGCGAAGAAAAGCGACCAGACGAAACTTACCTTAAACCCGAAATGTCACGTTCCGACGGCGACGACTTCCCGGACGATGCGCGACACGACCGGCGCGCGAGATACCACAGAACCAACTGTGAACTTAGGGTCGAAGCCAACCTCAGTCCAACTTGCTTTGCCAACTGCGCAAAATTCTATCTGCGTTTCAAGAGTTCCGCTAGCACCGAAAGTTTAAAAAACATGCGCTTTTTATAAAATTCGCAAGGAACGCCGGGTGAAAATATACGGTAACAATTCATAAAACATATACATATAGGTATATATTTACGAATTGAGATTAAAAAATAACTTATGACGAATTGACTTTTTGAGTAGGCCAATAACTAGAACATTATTTAGCATATTTTTAATGCGGCAATTTTATTTTGGATTTTCAAAACCTACATAAAGGACTAAAATGTCACGAAATCATTACAAAGCTTTTTTATGTTTATTCCTATTTGCATTTACCAAAAAGCTTAATTTTGATTTAGAAAATTTGTAATGGAATTTTATTAATATAAACTTCATAGCACTTTATTGAAAATTACAAATTCGAATAGGTTATTTAATGTATACATCTTATTTTCTAGATAGTCAAATACATGCATCGGGTTACACGCTGCCACAAGAATAAAATTAAAAGTACATATTGATACAAATTATTAGAAAAAATAAATTAAAGAAAAAATATTGAATCGAAAAATAAAACAATTCTTTTGAATAAGTTCATCATTTATTTCTTCCTTTTGTCCCTGAAAAGGGAAATTTATGCATTCTTCTTTTAGCTGTGGAGATAAAACCCCTAAAATCTAAGAAATAGTTAAGACATATTTTATAAAAACGATATGTCGTTACACTGTAAATAATCTAAATAATGAAAACATATTATACCGACCTCCATGACCGAGTGGTTGGTACGCCGGGTTTCATGGGGCGCCTACTCGAGAGGTCCTGGGTTCGGATCCCGGTGGGGGCAGATGTTTCTGTGATGAATACGAGCACTTATGCTCCAGTCCATGTTTAATATGTATTTCTATATAAATATACTTATATAGGTATATTATGTACAGTATAATTGTATTTTATCCTTTACTCTAGTATCCCATAACACAAGCCTCACAGTGTTTAAATTTTGTAGTAACTAGGTATGTAGTATTTTTTTCATAAATATTCATTGAATTCAATAAATTTCATACATCCACACTACGATTGTACACTGCCTTACCATTTTATATACCATATCGTTTAAGTGTAAGTTTTTAAACAAAAGAGTTTGGAAGAACTGACTTCCTATAGCCGAAATCACAACTTGCATCGCTCTGGGTAAGCTTTCTATTTGCCTGGCACACTCTTATACCAAGGTAATTCAAGTAAAACGTTTAATTACACTGCCTAATGGTGGCCACTCACCATCATGCTGCTTGATCAAGCGTAGGCTTGTTGAAAATATATCGATGTATCGATATATCGATATTTTTTGCCGATATATTTTGATTCGATATATCGATACATCGATACAAAATAACCAATATCGAAATTCGTATCAAAAACGATATTTTTTTAATTATTAGCGGCATATCGCGATCTAACTATATTCGTATCTGGAAAAATCGTAACTGGATCTCAGATTAATGATATTCAACATATCTATGATCTGTGCTGTATTTAGTATTGTCTATGTCATCATTCGAAAATAGGGTCTATTTTTAGGGAGATAATTTTCGTTCCATTATGATTCCGCGTGTCATATTTCATGAGCTACTGTACGATATTTTTTGGAAAATTGGTCCGATATATCGATATATCGATGTTTTTTTCGCGATATATCGAAGCCGATATTGATATTTTTTAAAAGATCGATATATCGATATTTTTTTTAACTTTCGACATCCCTAATCAAGCGGCCAAGTGGCATGTCCTTCCAAAATGTCTCCCAGAACACAGTCAGATTAGCTTAATCAAGCGGCAGGCTGGTGAGTGAACACCTTAACTAATTAATCAAAATAATTTTGTAATATTTTTTTAGGATAGAGAAAAGTCAAAAATTTGCTTAGGGTTTAACTTTTGCAAGTTTTTAATTAATTAAACAAATATTTTTAAAGTGGTTTAGTTTTTAGCAAGGCTTTTTAATCGATTAGTTTATTAATTTAGAAGTCGGCACTTTGTTATTTATGGTAATCAGAGAATAGATAAAAGTATCAGGTAAGCGTAAACTTAATAGGGATGATGACTATTTTTTTCTTCGTTTATCAGGTAGATTCTCAAAAAGTACTGACAGTTATTTTTCCATTTTTCACATAATATAAACATTGCAGAGATATATTGATTTGAAAAGTCGCATGACGTTACGTTTTGGTACAATTTCACTTAAAAGTGACGTCACGAGCCCCTCCTCCCAAACTTTGACGCGCTATAACTTTTGTCATTTTTTGGTTGATTGCCCAAAGAAAAAATACGTGTCGTGTGTAACTGACGGACTAAATAAAATTTCGTTTACTGTACCCCGTCATCACCCCTATTCCAATCAGAATGCCTAACTTTGAATAATATAATTCTACTCTCTTGGTTGTCACTGGTAAAATAAAATAATAGATTAACTCCTTTGTGGACATTTTTCTACCACTTTCTAGTTCGGCCTTTTTTTTACCCGACTGCGCAATGCAAAAGCGCGAAGCGCGACGCGCAGACAGGGTATTGTGTTTAACAGTCTATATATGTATGTTTGTTCCTTTGTGGCACACTAGAGACCAAACGCCTGGACCGATTTTGATGATTCATACATCAATCGATTCGTCTCAATCATAGGAGTGCTACTAAAGATATGATAGTACTCAAAATTCAATGTCGACAAAATTAGACGCCATATTGTCACGAAGTAAAAAAAAAAGTTGACAAAATATGTCGAGTGGGGTATCACTGTCTAGATTATCGAAAATCATGTTGAGGTTCCTAACACCATTTTCATTTTATATGATTGTTTGTGTGTATGCTATTGGTCGCAGATGACCTTTACAGCGTCACCGGGTTTCGGGACGGCTAGATCCGAGAGAACACGAGCAACTTAACGCTTAAATATATTTTAAAATTTTCTTCAGACTCCCCATGCAAATTTAAATCATATTTTATACGTTGGCGTATCAAAGCACGCAAAAATTAAATGATCATAAAAAAAGGAATCGACGGCATTATATACTTCCATACTTTGTATCTTATTAATTTTTGGGAGGATCAAAGCTCACAGTTATAAAAAATTAAAAGTCTTAGTTCACCTTAATGCTATAATTTCTAGGTAAATTGAAAATAGTTAAGTACACACAATATGTATGTCAAAATATACAAATATGTATAATACACATGGGTTATAATAATATCACCAAGGTGAAATTAGGGCACTATATAACAAACAAATCTCAATTTTCTTACATACACATATAATATAATCACTTATAAAATCGAAATGTTGTCAAAAAATATTTCAGTGTCTCGTAGGGACACCAGGGATTACGTTGTCGGTTCCAGCTGCATCTGCAGTCTGCATTGGATCGCATGGCATGGCCTATTCTGCCTATTCCATTCATAGGAAAGGCCTGTGCCTCAGCAACTATTAATGTCTCCAACATTAATAGGCTGGCGATGAACCAGTTTAAGAAATACACACATCGAAGAAGTTTAAACAACATGCTGTTTTTACGCAAATTCCAAGTTTTATCAATTGATATTTTATTTATCGTTATGAAATGTATAATTTGTCAAAAGTTTCTTTGGCTTTAGTCACAAATAAATCAAATTGGTTATTTTTAACAAAACAACGTAAGTATTAAGAATAAAAAATAAATCTGTGCACGGACCACACATCTGAAACCTAACCTAACATTAGAAGGTGCACAAGGCATAGGGGAATGGAGCAGCACACACACACACAAACACACACACACACATGTATATATATATATATATATAATCGTGTGACGCTCGTGACGCATTTCCGTTTTATATTTTCCATAGGATTTTTCCATTTACACCCCGACAGGAAAGAAGTTTCACTTCAAAAATGCTCAAAAGTTCTTTTGATGAGTATAGAAATTGATGTTGAAGTTTGATAAAAGAAAATGCAAAGCCACTTTCTATGCAAAATACAACCTCGCTTTGATAGCATAAATTAACAAAGGGACCAAAGGTTGTATTTCGCTAGTTAATGGATGTCTACAATTGCGGTCTTATTTACTATTTAAGAGAGGAAGCGAGGAATTTTACAGCTTCCTCGCTCCACTTTGATCGTAGCGCCTGTTGTTAAAGGAAGGTATATTTTATGAACATTATTATTTGTAAGATTGCTGAAACTTCTGATAGGCGGTGGATCGGGTGGACTTTTTCATTGCGAAATCATAGGAATTTCGACTGAGCTACAACACAACGTGATAATCTCCAGAAAGACAATACCACCATTAAGTAATCGCTCCGTTTTAGTAATACCCTAAGCACGAACCATTCTCGATACGCGACAAATTTTTAAGAAGTTCGTGCTACTGATTTTTGAAGTGAAAACTTCTTTAGCGGCGTTGTACACTTTTTTTTTGTATGGGTAAAAAATGTTAAACTCGCGTCAGGTAAAACACGTGGACTGATCGCATCATGACATTCAATAAAATTGGAAAGGTTGTTGTCTTTCAATATATTGGACGAAACACAGTAATATTTTATTTAACCGTATTATAATAAGTCTCTATCTAGGACGTCCACGTGGCAGCTTTATTGCGAAGAAAATGCATTTTTTTACAATAGATGTCGCTAACTTAAACGTGATTCATGTAAGTTGATTTTTCTGAGAGATAAACTTTTTTTAATGTAATATAAATTGTCATGTTTGTGTACGATAGCGCAAAAAATAAATATTGTATTCTACCACACACATGATAGTACTTTTATACTGATAATTAAAGCAATTCGTGCAAAATTATTCCCTAACCATTCCAAAATATCAAAAAATTCATAAAGTTAATATTCAAGTTTTCACTTCTGCCGGCACTCCCGGAATGCAACCCGTCGTTTTTTTTAATTCTATTCAATTTATACTTGATGACGATGACGATGACGATTCGCACTCGCAAACGCTATTAATTCGATATTGGTTCGTTTTAAGGGTGCTGTTCATTGCCCTATATCTGTAG